CACGTGCGAAGGTGACCCGGCTTCCTTATGGCTGTTCATGGTTCTCCGCCACCACGGCTCCTCAACCGACGGTCCGTCTTTTCCCTGCCTCCGACCTTCTTCTACCCTTGGCCCTCCTGTCTTCTTCTTCCGCGCACCCCGCCCCCCGGCCCCGCCACTTGTAGGCCTGGCGCGCCGATCTGGCCACTTTTTTCACTCCAGGCCACCCCCCATACTCCGCTTCTTTGCTCCTCACCACCGCTTTCCTTCCCCACGTGCCCCTTTTCCGGCCTCACCCCCGTTATCAATGCCCTCCCGCCGCTTCTTGCCCGCTCCTCTTCCCCCCCCCTGCCACCACGTATTTTGACCCTGTCCTCGCTGCTTTGACCCGTTCCCGTGGCTCGACGGCTTTCTGCCTGCCTCCACTGATTTGTTGCTCGCTCCTCATTTCTTCCTCCCTCTCCATCTGACACCTCTCTCGTGCTTCTTTTTGGCCGTCGTTTTTTGTGCTTCATTTCATCGCTTCAATCACCCCCACGGTCCCGTGAACCTGCTGTCGGCGTTCCCGGAGTTCTGCCCGCTCCCCTCCTCTACGTCTGCCCGCGGCTGGCCTGCGCCCCCGCCCGGCGGTCCAGCGCGTGACGCTGCATCTCTGTTGGCCTGAGCGTCCCCCCTGTAGCTTTGGCGCCTCTCCGCGTCGCTTGTTAATGTGTAACCCCTGAACTTTCCTTATTGCTACACCCCACCTCAGCCCGGCCCTGAACTTTGTCTTGGTTTCCCCTGCGTTGTGCCTGCTTCTCATGTCTGCCCTTCTGTCGGATGTTCCCCCTTCCCGTTGACTTCCTGCTTGTTTTTCCCTTGATTCCTGCTTGTTGTTCTTCCCTCTCTGCTGTTCTCTTGGCCCCCGCACCTTTGTTCTTTTGTTTGACCTCCGGTTACCTCCCCCGCCGGCTCCGCTCCTGCGTCCCGGCGTTCCACGCCGTTTCCGCTCCCTTCTGCTCACGTCTTTCGCGCGCTCTGCGGTCCGCCCGCCTGCCGGCTCCGGGTGCCAAGAACGACAATTCCTCACTGACGCTGGCTCCCTTGTCCTGCCCCTGACCGTGTCGGGCTTCCGCTTTCTGATCTCCAGATGCTTTTTTCGCACTGTTGGTTGCCCTCCCGTACCCTTGATCCCCGCGCTCCTGGCGGAGCCTTACTTCTCCTTCGTAGCTTCCCCTGTCCGCCCACCACATGAGCCAGCATCCCAACAAACACAGTTCATCACTTCTCCTCCCAACACGCACCATCGACACTTCTACGACCCCCACCACACAACACACCACCACAGAAGCCAACACGTGACCCCCTCGTGGCCCTCTGGCCGCTGGTGTTACTGCAGCACCGCTATGCCGCAGCCCACACCCACACCGCGCTCGTGCTCGTCCCCCCCCCCCTTGTGTGTTTGTGTGTGTCTCCGCTGTCCGGGCTGTCTGCTCCCGCGGCGCGTCGCTTTCTGCCTCCGATCTGGCTCCCCCTCCCCTCTGCGACGGCTGGAGCCTGCCCTACCCTCCGGCGCCTCCGGCGTGCCCCCGCTGCCTGCGCTCGGGTCCACCGTGGCGCCTGCGCCCTCTCCGGGTCTGCGCCCCGCCGCCGCTCCGCCCTGTTTCTGTCCCCTGCCTCTCTGCGGCTGTTGGTTGCCCGTTCGTCCCGCCACGCCCTGCCTGATACCACATGACCAGCCGGCACTGCGTGTTCCGTCTCTGTCCCCCCTGGCCTGCGTCCCTGGGCGCTATCAGCCCCGGCTCTGGTTTTACCCGCGTTTTCTCCCACTCCCCTCCCTGTTCTCTCCCCTCCTCGCCCTTCTCCACCGGTTCCGCGTTTATTCTTGCCTTGCCGCCGCCGCACCCCCTACCCTGGGCTGCTGCGGGTCTGGTTCGCCCAGCGGTGCGCGACCCGCCCTGGGTACTCGGCGGAGGGTCTCTTGTCCTTCCGCCAGCCCCCGCGCCGCTGTTTTTTCCTGCAGTGCATTCCCTTCCTCTATATTTCTGACCCCTCTTCGCTGTCTATTCCTTCTGCTTCTCAACCCCGCGACCCTGCGGCTTTCCCTCCCTCCCCCCTCCGTCCATCCCCCCCCCTGGCCCCCGCCCCTGTGCGTGTTTCCTGCACCCGCATTTGCGGCCTTTTCCTCCTTCGCTTGTTTTTCCCTCGTGTGTGTTTGCCAGCCGGCTTTCGCCCTCGCTGCTCTACCCGTTTTCCTCCATCCGGGTTCCTTCTTCCCCCCCACGCTCCTTCCCTGTGGCCGCTTCTGCCGGTCCATTTCTGCCTCCGTTTCTTCCTCCTCGGTGCACGGTTGGCGAGCCGCGGCCCTCCAACCTGGTTCTGAGGCCGTAGTACCGTGTGTGTTCCCTTTGCGTTGATGGCCACCCCATTTCCGTAGTTTCCACTCCCCCGCTGTGTCCTCTGCATTGCCCCTGTCACGTTTGCCACGCGACTTCCCCCCGCTGCCCGTCTTGTGCCGTTTGCTCTCCTCAACAGTCCGTCGTTCCGCACGCCCCCACATACCGCCCCTCCGCTGTCGTTCGCTGCTCCAGCTGCTGCTGTCTTGGGTCGTTGTTTCCATCCCCTCCGCTTCCCCCTGGCCCTCCCGTGGCCCCCCCAGTCCCCCCCGCTCACCCTGTCTGACCACCCCCTGCCGGTCTCTGCCCTCGAGGCGTCCGCCTCTCCTGCTCCTCCACGCGCGCTTGCCTCCTGTTTCCGCTCTGTGCGAACTGGTCTTGCTGTGCTGTTTCTGGGCGTCGATGTGGCGGCTGGTTCCTCTCCGTGCCGGTTCCCCGGCCTCCCCGGCCTACGCGCCGTCGCTGCTTGCACGTTGGACGGCCATCATCACGTCACTCGCGAGTCTGCCACTGCTCCTGTGGTGGTTCTCTGTCGTCCCACTCCCGCCCCCCGCCTTTCCTCCTTCACCCTGCTCCTCCTCTCTCCTCTGTCTCTCCGCGCTCGTCGTGCTGGGCGTGTGCCTGCTGGCCCTCTTCCTTCTCCCGCGTCTCCTCCTGCCCCTGCTCACCTCCTTCCCCGCCCCTTCCCTGCACGTCTTTCTCGCTGGGTTTTCGGTTTCTGGTCCTGCTTCTCCGTGTCCTCTGTTTCCGTGTCGCGGGCGCGTCTCTCCTGTTCGTCCCCCCCCTGCTGCCCGCCCCCCTTTTGTCCTCACTCACCCTTCGGTTCTGGGTTTTCCTTTCTTTTCGTGCCTGGTGCCCTGCGCTCCCTGGTTTTACATCTCGTTGCCCTCACTTCACTCATGCTCTGGCTTCTGTTCCTGTCTGTTCTGATGTTCCGATTTTCGTCTTTTCCTTTGGCCTCTTCTTTTTCCTCCCTCACTCCCTGTCTCTCCTTACCCTCCCCCTCCGTTCCACTCCCCCTGCTCCCAGCTCTCTCTATTTGTTTTGCGTTGTCCTTGCCCTTCCGGTTGCCTCTTCCCCCTTCCCATCTCTGTTATGCGATGCTCCGCTGTTGCGTCACGCTGTTCCGGTGCTCAGCACACCCCCCGTGTTCCTGAGCCCTTACTGCCACTTCCCTCACCTGTTATGCTCTTTCCCCTCACACCCCTGAGTCATTTTCCTCTTGTCGCCTCCATCTTCGCCTCTGTTCTTCTTCCTTCTTTCCCTTTCGTGTTCGCTTTTTCCCCCTTTCCCCTCCTTCGTTGGTGTTGGGTGTTGCCCCAGCGGCTTGCGCTGTCCGCTCTCCCTTCCGCCCTGTTTCTGCTTTCTCTCTCCTCTCTGTCTCTTTTTGTCCCGTGGTGTGCCACCGGTGTTTGCCCCCCCTTCTCCCTTTCCTTTCCTTTGCCTGTTTGTCCCCTTACGTGTTTCGCACCTCCCCCCCTTTCCCCTAGTCCAGGCCACCCCACGTCCCCTGCCTTTTCCCTGACGGTGTTCTTCTTCCGGTGCACCCCTCCCCCCGCTTCCTGGCCCCTGTGTGCCCGTGTGCCCCCTCCACCTCCTCCCTGGTTGGGGTCCCTTCGCGGCCACCCTGCCCCCCGCGTTTTGCGCTCACGTGCCTGCGGCCTTTTCCGCGTCCTGGCGGCCTTTTGCCCCTCCTGCTGTTGCCGCCTTGCCTCCTCCGTTCCATTCGCGGGTTTTCGCGCCCTCGCCGGCCTTTGTTCCGTCCATCCCCCCCCTCTCCACTCGGTTCCGGTCCGGACTTTGGCTCGGCCCCCTCCCCCGTCTTCCTTTTGTTCTTCTTCCCGGCCCTTCGGTGGTGGCTTGCTGGGTGTTGTTTCGTCCTGTGCTCGCTGCTGCGCCCCCCTTCGTTTCGCCTTGGCGTCGCCCGCCCCGCTGGTCGGCCCTTCTCCTTCCGGCTGCTCTGTCGCCGCCGCCTTCCTCGTTCCTTTTCTCCCGGCCCGCTTCCCGGTCCTGCCGCCGCCCACCGCCCCGCCCCTCCACTCCCCCCCCCCTCTTTCCTGTTGGTCTCCCTGTCTCTTCCCCCTTCTGCCCTGCCGTGTCCTCTCTCCGCCCGCTTCATTTCCCTGGCCCCACACTTCCCCCGCGTTCCCTTTTGTCCTCCTCGGTCGCCCGCATGTTGTCCGCCCCCGTCTTGGGGCTCCTCCGCTGTTTTGTGGCGCCCTTGCGACCGCGCTTTGCTGTTCTTTTTGCTGCCGGCGTGGTTTTCTCCTGTGGCCCTCTGCCCTGCCGCCTCTTTTTTTTTTTTCTTGGCCCAGTCTTTCCTGCTGTGGACCGCCTCGCCACGCTCCTTCCCTGCGGCACGTGAGGCTGCCGTTCTTTGGACGCGTTGTTGTGGTCTTTGTGCCCTTCTTGACTGCGTCGTCGGCTGGCTCTTGGGGTCCCTTTTGGGCGGCCGGCCCCTGGGCCGGTTCCCCTGTTCCCTGTCTTGCGGCCCTTTGCTGGCACTATGGCTCCTCCCTGTCGGTTCGCTGGCTTCCCCCCGCTTCTGGCCCTGGCTTTCTCCCCTTTCCCGCCTGCTTCGCTCTCCCTTACCTTTCTTTCTCCACTTGTTCCTCGCCTTCTTGGCTCTGCGGCCTGCTGTGTCAGCTTCCTCGTACGGCTCTGCTGGTGGCCCTTCACTGTGTCCGCCGTCTTCCTCTTTCCAGTGCCTGTCTACAGCCTTTGCTTGTGGCCCACCGTGTCGGCCCTACCTCGGCCTGGGCTGAGGCTCGCGACCGCCTCCGGTGTGGCCCCCCCAGTCTGCCCGTCTGTTTCACCCAGGGGCCGTGCCCTCACTTTTTCCCCCCAGGGCCCGCTGGCTTTGGATTTTTTTCCCTTTCCAGCCCACCACTACTCACCCCACAGATCTTCATATTCTCCCCTGCCTTTGTGTTCCTTGATGTACACTGTCCTTGACTACTTGTCATTGGTTTTGCTGGTTCCGCCACCCCTAAAACACGTGTGCCCACCCTCGCACCGGCCCCGGCATCGCGGGCGCCCCCCCACTTTTTCGAACCCCCCTTTTTCACACCACTGTATCTCTATAGCCCAGTATCATAAATCACTAATTAGCCTGCAGCAGCTTTAATGGAAGAAAATAAGTGACCTCAGTGAGAGCAACAGATGGATCCCTGACCCAGGATGGACCCACATAAAGCTAAAAAGAAACATACAGAAGAAGAGAAATAATTACAAAAGATATAACAATTGGACTTCACTAAACCTTTTGAAAAAGGTTAACATTAATAACATTATTATTCTTACTATTATATGAATCAAATAGACAGTTCATACCTCTGCCATGTATCTACCAGAGGTGGACTAGCACTACTCCAAACCTACAGTATAAGTCTTTATTTGCTATGCACTGATTTTCGTGAAGATTAGGTGAGATATGTGCCAAAAAAATCCAAAATGGCATAATGTTTATGACCCGTGTAACCCCTACCTGCACCTGTCACTTTAAGACAGTGATAAATATCAAATAGGAAAATGAGGGTTGACTTTAATTCTAGATTCAATGAGGAGACTGCTGAGATTTACCTGCCTAATTGTTGAATTAGACCTGCAATATCTACCCCAAATAACACACGACAACAGACTGACAATTTTAAAGGAGGTATATTGAACCCAGTAAAGATCTTTCACAACACAGTATCTCAAAAAGGTACGTAAATTAAAGTGAATACTGCATTATTCACTTTAATTTACAGTACCTATATCATAAACTCAAAGTTGGATTCACAATACACAGTTCTTTTAAATACCTTTGTTTGAACCCCAACTGACCAATTTTAATATTTTGAACCAAAATAAAATATAAAAAAAACCTCTGAGATCTCAGGTATGAAAAAGGAAATTGTCCCAAAAGTTCAAATGAATAAAAAAATAAAAAGCAAAGGGGAAAATATGAGTGCACTCAAAGTCCTACCACCCTCTTCCACAGTGGATGTCCAAGGTGAGTATTGCAATGGGAAAGATATGGAGATGTGGATGACCCCTTTTCCAAAGGTGAGTAGCAACCAGGATGGAGATGCAGATGGATGACAGCAGAAGATGGTAGAGCAGGCATGTCCAAAGTTGGCCCGCGGGCCAATCACAGCCCGCTGTAAGATTTGAAGACCCGCAGTTTCGGTCTTATAATGTGTTATTTATGGCTCGCTAATAAATAAATCATAAAACTTTAAAAATGTAATTCCTCCTTTCAGCATCATTTTAATACTATCTGGATCTGCATCCGTGCTGCGAACCCTTCTCCACTCATTTCTGCCATGGTGACTGCAAAGAAAAAGAGGAAAGTTGACAGTGAAGGCCGCCGCTTTCAGGAGCGGTGGGAATTACAATACTTCTTCACTGAAAATCGAGGCAATTGCGTTTAATTGCGTTTAATTGCGTTGCTTGTTTAAGGATTTCAACGTAAAGAGACACTATGAGATTAAACCTGCTACCACATACAAGAAGCTAACAGGGAGTGACCGCGCTGAAAAAGTGAAGCAACTCCAAGCTGCTCTAGCATCACAACAGCGATTCTTCATGCGGGCCTGTGAGTCAAAGGAAAATATCACCAAAGCAAGCTACGAAGTGGCCATGTTAATAGCTAAACAAACCTTTTTCTGAAGGTACATTTATCAAAGACTGTGTCATGAAATTGGTGGACAACATTTGCCCCGAGAAGAAGCAAGACTTCATGAATGTTTGCCTGGCACGTAACACTGTGGCAGGGAGAATTGAGGACATATCGTGAGACATTCAGCGACAACTGGGGGAGTGGCTTTTGATTATTTCTCATTAGCCTGCGATGAAATCACCGATGCATCTGACACTGCACAACTACTGATTTTTGTAAGAGGAGTGGACGACAACATGAACGTCACAGAGGAGCTGCTTGACCTCCAGAGCCTTAAAGGCCAAACCAGAGGAACGGATTTATTCGTTTCTGTTTGTGAAGCTGTTGATGACATGAAACTACCATGGAGTAAAGTTTCTGGGATCACTACCGATGGTGCGCCTGCCATGGCTGGTGAGCGAAGTGGATTGTCCACACTGATCTGCAATAAAGTCAGTGACGAAGGAGGTAACGCTATTAAACTTTACTGTATAATTCACCAGCAGGCTCTCTGCGCCAAACATCTCAAATTTGACCATGTTATGAAACCAGTGGCAAAGGCAATCAATTCTATTCGCTCTAAAGCTCTATACCATCGACAGTTTCAGCAGTTCTTGCTTAACATCCAGGCTGAATACGGAGACGTAATATATCACAACGATGTGAGGTGGCTAAGTCGGGGTCCGCACTGCAGCGATTTTTCTCTCTCAAAGAGGAAATTGGACATTTTTTGGGTGAGAAGGGACAACCAATGGAAGAACTGTCCGATCCTGTATGGCTGGCAGATTTGGCTTTTTTGGTTGACATAACGAAGCATCTTAATGCGCTGAATGTTAATCTTCAAGGGAAAGATGCAGTGTTGAGCCAGCTATACACTCACATCAAAGCCTTTAGAACCAAACTGCAACTTTTCGAAAGACACTTGTCCCAAACAGGGCCCTGCACCTCACATTTCCCAGCTTTGAAAGAGGTCATTGACAGTTTCCCATAGGACAACATCGGTGCGCAAATAAAGAGCTTTCGCATCTCTTTCTGTGGAATTTACCAAACGCTTTCGGGATTTTGCAGTTATTGAAAAGGACATGTTGCTTTTCTCTTCTCCCTTCTCCGTGGACCCTGATGATGCTCCTCCACAGCTGCAGCTTGAGCTCATTGAGCTGCAGTGTGACGATGAGTGCCGCGGAAAACACCAGCAGTTTTCTCTTGTTGACTTTTACCGGCAGCTGGACAAAGGCAGGTTTGCAGAAATGCGATCATTTGCTAAGAAATATGCTAAGCTCCTATTCGGGGCTCCACATATTTGTCAGTGCAGGCAAACATTCTCCAGGCTCATGAACATTAAACCAGAACCGATTAGGTCAAGACTAAAGTGACTCCCACCTTAAACGTACACGTTTTACAGCATCTCCAAGCTAATGCGCCTCCCCCAGGCCAGGACCTGGCTCACTTTTACTGAAATCTAGATCTCAGTATCACCCTTCTCATATAGTCGTCAGCAAGTTATCTTTTCGCTCCAACGGAATAAGGCCGAAATTGAGTGTTTTGAACGGTAACAACTCACTATTAACAGTGAAATACGCTAAAGCACAACTTATTTTTGGATTATGCACTTTATTTTAATTAAACTCTTTTGGAATAACAGATTTGTACTAACTGTTGTCTATGTACCTGTTCAGATGCTGACACAAACTATTGCTCTTCTGAAAGATTCTTTAAATCAGACAAGGGCAAAATTAACTTCTGTTTTAAACTTTTAATGATTACAGACCATACACACATAATCCCTGTTTAAAATGTTCATGAGCAAAGATATTTATCAAACTCATCCGGAAATTAAGGATATTCTATACACGTTTGTTCAATGTTATCTGACTCTCCCACGATATATGAAAGGCAGAATGTGTTTTTAGAAGTTGTTTTCATGTCTGTTTTTAGAGTAGTTCACGTCCACGTTCACGTTTGGTTTACTGCCCATCTTAAAAATAAAGGTTAATTGTGACAACATGAAAATTGTTTTAATAACAGCTGGTGTCATTTCCATGTAACTTTTCTGATTAAAATGCAGAATGAAACTATTTGCCCACGGCATCTTCACCTGCTTATTGAAAAATCTGCCCTCTTTGCAAAAATGTTTAGGACAACCCCGGCTTAATTGGAACAATCTGCACAAGGTTCTGCGGTCCAATTTTGGCCCTCTGATCGGGTTATTCTTCCCTACCGCGGATCAATACTAAATACCATTATATTATTACTGTTGTTGTTGTCTTCCCTTTACGTCTACACCTGCCTGGCGTTCACTTTTTCCCGTCTGGGCACCAGAGAACCATTTACAGCAATTTTTATAAACACGACATAAACTTCACAGCCCTATTAAGCAGCGTTATTAACTATACTTACCCTGTCCTCTGTTCATCACAGACTTTTCTACTGGATTTTTGATCAAATGGCTGGAGTGTGGCAGTAATCGGAGCCTCGGGGCTAGGCTTCCTTTTTATACCTGGAACCCCACCCACCACTATAAATCGTGGCACTCGTGGCTTGCGCGAAATGGCATCGATAAAAGCATGCCACCAAATGGAATAATCAGATAACTTTTCTATTCAACAGTTTCCCATTCCCTTATTTGTTTGATCTGGCTTTCATCTGGACTAATCTTATGCAGTCTACTGCTGCAGTGTGTGTGTTGTGCTGTGTGTGTGTGGTGGTGTGGCTAGGTGGCCGTTTTTGTCCTTACTCTTCGCTGGAAACCCAGTCTCTAAAGAATTTAATTCAAACCGAAAACAATGCATCTTACGTTTCGTTTATAGCAGGAGAACCACTTATCATTGCTATAAGTATCTAGGTATAAAAGTATGGAAACTTACTTAAAAAAATTGCTAATGTATACACAAGAAGATAAGGTTTTACAGTAGATGCTTAAGCTTTTTATGGTTCAAATGCCGGTGTGTCCCCTTTTATTTATAATGGGAAAACAGGCGGATAATTGGTGCTTATTAATTGATTTAATAAGAGGTGCTAAAATAGGAGTAATTTCATAAATTCATCTAAACACATTCATGCAAGATAACTTATATATCAAGAGTAACTAGAAGGCCAACACAGAGCTGCAAACCAGAGTGTTGAACATTAAATCAAATAATCGTGCATCGCCGATGCAGAACATGGACGATGCTGCATCCCATGCCAGTGGCCGACGATAAGCTCGATTAGTACATGCAAGATGTCGCTTCGGTTATTTTTCCGGCCCACCGAAATAACATTCAAATGGAAAATAACATCTTCTCCAGTAGCCTTCTGGTGGCGTTCGATCTTTTGGTTCTCGTAATCGCGACTTGCAACTCGAGAGTGACCGTCACAATCAGTGTTGAAAACACGAGTAGCCGGTTTTTGCGTTCTTCTTGGCAACACAACACGAACGAGTCGGAGAAAAAGACGGAGCCTAACAGTAAACAGTCCGCTATAGTCATAGTGATTATCTGGTTTACTGCAGGGATTTCAATATTCATGTTAAAATTACAATCATTTTACAGTTGACTTGAAATTTGTTTTGATAGTTCAGTTGTTTGTTTCTGGCTCAAGACTCGGCATTGTTGTCATAGCAACAGGGAGCTCTAGCCCAATATTCCAGCTGCACAAGCTACAAAATAAAATAAGGCGTATTTAACACATAATAATGTATCGACCATGCGCTATAGGTAAAGTTACAGTGCTATGTGCTACGACTTCTTCATTTGTTACACACAAGCCACAAGCGCTTAAATAGTAGAAAACCACAATGTTACTAAGTGTGAATACTGGGATACCGCGCCATCAACTTGAACGTGAAACTCGGGGTCCTCCTGAGTGTCGGACTTTCAACGAGTCGTTTTTTTCGGACTCGGAGCGTTCTTTTTTGCAACTTCCGGTCCCGTAAACTCGGGAAACCGACTCGGAATCGAGTTCGTTGGACAAGTCGAACGCCCATAGGACCCGTTTCAATCCTAGCCAGACTTCCATAATAGCGGGGCGGCCCCCTGGGGGGGGCACAGCGTGAGATGTCAGGGGGGGGCGCGACCGGCAGGGGACTGACGGGGAGGAGAGATGAGAAGGTTCTGACAGGAGTAAAAAGAAAAACAGAGAGACGTCAGAGCAGAACAGCAAGTGACGTAACGCTAACACTAAATAAGAATAACGAAGCCGTACACAGCCTGGGTTTACCGTGATACGGTCGGAAAATGAGGACAAATGTGTGCGTGTTTTATGTTTTAAAAACCTCTGGCCAGCGCGCAAGCTGAAACAAAAATTAAGACCCCTGGAGACGGACCTTACATCCCCAGTTATGTCAATAAGCCACTGGATTTGCTTCCATTCCGGACCTACTCGATGCCGTATCGCCAACAAGGCCGTCATTTAGTGCGAGCGCGGCATCAGTAAATAGAAAACGCACCGTTAGCCTCAGTACAAACACCGCACTCGCAAGGTGGCCAAAAACCATTCACAACAATAGCCAGAGGAAGCTACTACTCCCGCGCATTGGACATGGTCCACCAATCATAGTGAGCCAAAAGTGCTGAGCACACTGAAGTACTGTCTCTATTCTGTTGTTGTGTGTCTGTGTGTGCTGTCTCTGGTATGCTGGCTCTGCTGTTTCAGCTGTTAAATAGAAAAAAGCGACTCTTGTTTATTTCTACTACTTGTATTACTGAACAACAAACCATCCATGAATAATATAGAAAACTGATATATAGAAATAATACAAGTATCTTAATAGCATTCTGGTCAAAATCAAATATCCTATATGGCTTTAATAGATATAGATAATAGATAATCGTAATCGAATCGGGAGATCGGTGACAATTCACACCTCTAGTGCAAACCCCTGCTATGGCTGAAGAGTTTTCCAACATCCTGCTGCACTCTAAAGCCTAATTTTAATCACTTAAATTTTAAGTCAGATTGATTTCTTGGCCTTGCAAACAGCCACAGGATTTAAAAAAAGTCTAATCTTTAATCTCTGCTCACTTTAGAGTTATGATTAAAACATGGAACTCATCTAATGGCAGAAATCCCAGAGCTAGATCACCTCCAAAATGTAATCAATCGTTGTTTGGGCCATTTGTTGTTTCTCAAACAGATGGATTGTCAAAAAATAAGTATGCACGGGAGATTTTTCCTTCTTCTCATCCCTCTTTGTGCTCCGCCAGACTCAGAGCTTGCTGTCGTTTCACCAGGCTGACTAAGCAAGAAAGTATCAAACTGCTTCTGTAGGCAGTTCCATACTTTATACCACTTAAGTTCATAATGTCAGGTTTTTTTTCCTCAAGCCATACCACAGTATCCATACATTTAAACACGACAAGAAGAATGTAAAATTGTGTAAAATAATGTAAAATAACATCACATATATTTAAAAGCCACAAGATTTCACTGTATTTCATTGGGAGTCAAAGTGAGTTTTTAGCCATGCTAGCAGACAGTGTCTGTTTTTTTGGTCAGTCAGTCCATCTGTCCACCACTTTCTCAACAACTATTAGAGGATACATTCTTTTGACTTGGTAATCCCTCATTTGACTGCCACAGGTGGAGTCCAATTCCTTTTATGTGTACACATACTTGGCCAATAAGGCTGATTCTGAATGTAAATTCTGTAGAATGGTGGCTGAGAATGAATCCTAATGACTTTAGTGATCACATGACAAGAGCAGCTCAAAGTTTTCACTTTTTTAGTCAAAAAGCTCATAATTTACAAGATGAACTGGCACAAACTGTAGAACATGCGTGGTTCACCAAGGACAAATCCTAATGATTTTGGGGATCCTCTGACTTTTCCTCTAGCCCTGCCATGAGATTGACATTTGTGTTTTTTAGTGAAATGTTAAGACAAATATTGGATGTGCTGCCAAACATTCATGCCCCCTTCAAGATTAATTGCAATAACTTTGGAGATTCCTTACCTTTTCATCTAGCACCATCATCAGGTCACAATTTCAATGTGTCTAATACTGCAGGATTAGACAAATTTACATTACTGCAGTAAGCTTGAAGACACATGTATGTTTCTTCTTACCAGCTGGTGAAGAGGTTAACTGTTTTTTTATTAGCAGTCTCACTGCTGTTCGGGAGTCCGTTTTGTATTTTCTCTTCAATTTGTGATTTATCACTTCCTGCAGATTAAGCCGATTTTCCTCCGGTATACCCAGTATAATTTGGACAAACATGGTGAATTTATTCAGTCCTATCAGGAGGACTGGGATGCTGTTCTCTGTTGTAATTTAGGCTGAAAATGCAGGTGTGTTTTTGTATGAATATTGTCCTGTCTCCTGTCATCATGCGTTGCAACTGTTTCTCCTGTTCGTAACTCAAGGTAAGGTCCTGTAGGTGCAGACACATTTTAATTTCTCTCCTCATTTTAAGGTGTTGTATTATATCATATTATTGTTATCACAATGTTTGGAATACGAATGTATGTTCCCTGCACATCTTTTGCTGTGTGTTACTTGTTCTAATGTAGCCTACAGTTAAAGAAAAATGTCTTATACCTTTTTAATGAAATATTTCATCTGCCCACCTGTTGTTCGACTCTAATCATTCGTTCTTTCTTTTCTTTTACCTGCCTCTTCTTATCTCTCTATAGGTTACACTTTTATCTTGCCATCTTCTTCCTCCCACCCTGTCCTCAGCCTCCTTGAACTGCAGAATGTATTATGATTAAACTGATTAAACCAGTCTCCCTGTGAAAACTGTCTCTCCTATCATTGTCCATTTATCCTTTCACAATTGTGTCCTTTTTACCTGTATTATATCCTACTATAAATGCAGATTTGTTCCCGTCAGCTCTATGTGGCTGTCTTATATTATTAGTATCACCGCCTAATCTATATTGGTAATTATTGTTTTTAATAAACGAATAAATGTAAATAAAGGCTTAATTTTGGAAATACCCATCAGTCATAACTGATATCAGTGTTCCTCTCTGTGCATCCAGACTTCTTGAGCATATCTTAGCACAAAGGGAAGCAGGGAGAACTGACAGGGTTTGTCAGAAGTGAAAAACTAGACTTACTTACTACTACTACTTAGCTTGATAGCTAGCAAGCCTGTCACAAGTCCATCCAGGAGTCGCCAGGGCTTTGCTCAACAGTTGCTGCTCAGGAAACACCTCCTATGCATACCACTTTATGATATTTTTGCTTTAATACAGCAAGATTAGCAGTTTCTTCCTGCTTCCAGTCTTTATGCCAACTTACGCAAAACACATCCTGTAACTACTCTGTCACTGTACTAGGCTGTGCCCTACTTATTAAGTCGACTGTGGTGTTTCTTTTTACTACATATTTAACATTTCTTTCTCATCTCTTTTTTTCCATTTCTTCTTCCCTTTTCTCCAATGCGTCTAGTTGAGTGCATTGTGGTTTTACCTGAACCAAGGAGTCACTGGGATCCTGTCTTTGGCACCTGTGTCTTCCTCTTCTCCTTTCTCATCCCTGTGGCTATCATCAGCATCTGCTACAGCTTGATGGTCAAGCGCCTGCGCAGTGTTCGCATCCTGTCGGGCTCCAAGGAAAAGGACCGCAACCTGAGGCGCATCACCAGGATGGTCCTGGTGGTGGTGGCAGCATTTGTTGTCTGTTGGACCCCTATCCAGATCATGGTCCTGGCTCAGTCGCTGGGCTTCAACCTGAGCAGCTTGTTCACGCTGGTGCTGATGCACTTCTGCATCGCGCTGGGCTATGTCAACAGCAGTTTGAATCCTGTGCTTTATGCCTTCCTGGATGAGAACTTCAAGCCGCGGCTGCTTCCGCGAGTTCTGGCCAACCCATCCCCATTTCCGCCTTGACACACGCAGTCTGGTCAAGGTATGAGGAGCATCGCTAGGGAAGTTGCGGCAGCCTACAGCTGCAAGGCTGGAAGTGGTGGGGGGCCTGGGGGAGGGACACCTAATCCAGCATGACTAGGCGTGGAGCTCCCTTTGGTGGGGGTAGACCCCCAACAGAGGAGAGAGGCCCAGGGGACAGGTAACTCCAATACAGAATTGACTCAGATTACAGCTCTCTAGCGGCACGAGCCCCCCCGCCCCCAAACTAGAAGACTGGCCTGGGGTGGGGGGGAGGGAGATGAGGAGGATGGGGTCGAAAGGAAAAGAATTTAGGATGACAACCATAGGCTCCATAGGGTGCCTATATGGATGGAGGGAAATGGGATACATTGAAAGCTTGGGTGGGAAGGGTGGTGAACATGTAGGTAGGAGATGGTGCCAGATATAGGAGTAGCTCAGACCATTGTGGATCCTAAATCTTGGAACGTTTATGTCCAAACTCCACTGAGGCGGTAAGATATATAGAGCTACAAATGTTAGGAAACCTCAGTAAGACTTGTTCAAGGATCCAACTATCTTGAGGTGGATGTAAACACAAAAGAGGTGACAGCCTTATTTGGCATGTACTACAGCCCCAAAAACAACAGCCTTGCTAACAGAAATTAGATCTGTCAACTGAGGTTGGTACTGACTTGCTGCATCTCTAGAAAGATTCCCAACTCTGTATTTGTGTTTGATACAGTAGGGGTTGGGGCTAGATATTTGAGGAGAATATACATATAAACAGCATGGGAATAATAGAAGGAGCTGCAGATACTAAAATCCTTGAAACCATCATGCACGACTTCGGTGATTGTAGGAAGATTATAAACAACATTGGAAGCATGGAACATGGCTATCTGGTGGTAAGGACCACGGACTGAAGACCAAGGAAGAGCAAAGCTTTCTAGAAGTGTGAAATGGAGAACACTTTCACCACAGTTTATTGTATCTTTATCAGAGGAGGTTTCATGAGTGGGAAGTGGTGAACAAAATGCCTTGTGTCCCACACTGATCCCAGAATGGGGTCTTTATTGTGATGGTTTCTCTAAAAATGGGTCTACAGAATGATAACATGCTGCTGAGCCCTTATTAAGACTTAAATGGGCACACACAGTGTAATGTGATATTTGAGACTGTAGACAGGAAGTCAGACTTGTGAAAAGAACAATGTGCAACAAGCTACTCTTGAACAATATTCTTAAACTGTGTCTATGGACCCAGAATGGGTCACATGAATGTTATTTCTCGTAGGAGCGACATTTTAGTGTGTCCTGGAAAAACTAAGCCTGAGAAACCCTGTCCTAAAACAAGTTTCTTAGAGTTTTTGAGATTTTTGAAAACTTTCTATGATCACCTGTGGGGTGTTGGAAATTTAGTTGGGGTGGGGGTGACCTGTCTGTGGTGGGTCCACATATGAAATGTCAGTTACCCTGTATTCAAGGGTAGATGTACCCATATCAAATTTGCAGGCAGGACTTAAAATGTTTGCCATAAATAGAATCTTTGAACATGACCTGGGCAAAAATAATGCATTCATAAAAACATGTTTCAAATATTTGTTTCAAGCACTCACAAAAAGCAACATTTGTCCGACGGCAGTTAATTAATTAGTGGAAATGAATTTGCTTTTCTTAATTGGGATGAAGATTGAAAAACAATCCTCATATTTTGAAACGTGCTTACCAGACGGTCTGTACAACACATCTGTGATTGTAACACCGAACCAAATATCCTGTGTGGAACTTTGCAGGACAATATGTTTAAAAGCTAATATAAAGACATTTTGTCATTTTTATTTCTGGTTAAAAGATCAAATGAACAAAAATATAAATATTCTCTATTTTTACAAGTATAAGTTCAATGTTGGGACGTTAGCTTATTCTGAGACATCCTGCTTGCAACTTAAACTGGTTAAAGTTTCCATGATACCAACCATGGAAATTAGGCATTTTGGGTAAAAGCTAAGGGAACAAGACAGAGGCAATATAATCACAGATGTTTTGTTAATGACACATGTGGGTGTATTATTTTTCCCAGGTCTGCGACTGCTGTCACATTTTGGGAATCAGGTGAACTTTAACATTGGGCAGGGTTGGGAAGGGGTGTTACCAGTGAGTCATTGGGACTCACAGCACCACAATGGCAAAGCAGGAGGAAGGGGTCACAGTGTTCTGACCCCACTCCAAGGGACAAAGGGGCTCTCTCTCTTCTTAGTGTCTTAAAGAGGAAATCAACCCTGAAACAGAAACCACATCAGATATTTTTATTTCCCTGGACAGTTTTGGAAATTATACAAACTCGATACAGCATTTAAACTTTTAGACATTTTCTGGGACACTTGATTTAACAAAAATATGATTTCAGAAATGTGAAGCATTAAGATGAAATGATGACAATTTCATGCAAAATATAATATGATTTACGTCTGTTTTAACTGGGAATTGGCCTCCCACATAAAAAGTCTATCATTGACAGTTTAAATTAAGGTTTTTTGTTTTGTTTTTTTAAAAATTCCAGTTGTATTTGTAGTAGTTTTATATGGGTGATATTGTGATAATAAAAAAATTGGTATTTCCTAAATATTTGCAAAAAGCATTATGTTAGGAGAAGGAAGAGAAATTATTATCTAAAACCTATTTACACATTTTGTCTGGCACTGCTCATTACAAATGACAAAATAATGTTGTTTTTTTTACTTTCACGTGTCATCAGCGCTTAAATAAAATCAGGTTCTCATGAACAATCAAACATTATTTCTAACTTTGACAGAGTGACCAATTCAGTGATATTTTTAAGTAATTTTTTGGTGATGCTGTGAGGAATTAAACTAAATGATTTTTTTGAAGTTATACACTTTCACATTCAAGATATTCCTATTGCTTTGATGGTTTTCAGCGTTTAGTGAGGCGGTTTATTGTTTAACTGTCGACACTGTAGGAATTAACGTGTGGATTCTGTTTTAGGGTTGCTGTCCCCTTTAATTTTATATTTGTGTCTTTTCATAGAATTTTGATTGGTTTGATTGGTTAAGTCTTTACTTTGAATTCAAAACATATGTTTGTTTTTTTACTTATTTTATTAAATTAACAGAATGCGATTCAGGATAGCAAGTTGATACCAGTTGTGTCACGAAGGGTTATGGTTTGTTGTCAACTGTATAGTTTTAAAGTTATGTCTGTATAAACCAGTTTGTTTGCTGCAGCTACTCTTTGCAGCACATATGAAATTGTTCATTGTCTTAATTTTGTCTTTTTCCTTTGAGAGGAACAATTCTATGAACTTACATTGCCTTAAATATCAAGTGAAGTCTGTTACTGAAGCTCGCTCTCTGGCTGGATTAAATGTGTTCTAGTTATTACTGGTGCTTCGCTGTTAGTTTATACTAGTCCAGATCTGTATTCATAAAGCCTCTGAGGACAGCAGTCATCTGCAAACCAGAGAACATGTTAATTTTAGGTTTGTATTTCTTAAAATAGCTGTCTTTGGCCTACTTTATTAATGTCTGGCACTTTCTAAAATATCAGAGCTTAATCCAGTGTAATTATCTTTTGGCATTGGCAAGTTGAAATGTTTCTTTCTTCCTCTCCCACAAACTTTGTACAATAAAACTGCGAGCTTAAACAGCCCCTCAAACTGCATTCATCCATGATAACGGCTCTTTCAACAGTTGCTACTAACAGCTGACTCTGACTCTGATTGGTACCTTACAAAGGGTTAAAGTGAGTACACAGACACCATAAAAAAATTGGACAATGATTTTCACTTCTGTAGAATATTATGATGTGGTTACCTCTTGTAACCTCTTGTAACCTCTTGATAATGTCTTCTCACCTTTACACCATGTGAATTTAAACTCTTAAACTTAAACAACAGTGTTTTTCTACGGGAAGCAGTTACTGATATAGGTCAGGTGGCTGGGGACACACTAGCTCCAGCTCTGAATGCCACAGATACTTCAGATATTGTATTCTACCATTAATTACTTGCCACTGGATCTCAAGGTATTGATCTAAGTACATCATAGGTCACATAAAAAGAAATTTAGTCTGTTGTTGCTCTTTTTGTAGTTTAAAAAAAACAGCCAAATATTCGTTTTACTTACCGTGGTCACAATAGACAAAACTTTGTTGTGACATCAGTTCATGTAGGCTGCGCAACAGATGATTGACAATATTCTCATTCACCTTACGTAATATCAGTATGAACTGTTTGCACTCCTGATTGAATCAACACACCACTCACTAATTGGTTTGGGTGTCAAATTTAATCTAAAATATCTTTATAAATCAATCTCTGCTAAAATCTAAAATAGTCCATACAAAAGGACAAGAAACCCTTTTTAATTTTACTTTCATGTATAACATCCACTTTAAACATAAACTAAATGAAAATTTGATTTATACTGTGGCCTCTTGTGAAACTAATCTAAGCATGGTCACAAAAAAAGCTTTAAAAAACTGATGATGACTTAAACATGACTTTATTTAGATCACCATGCCATAAACACGATAATACACACTCGTCTTTGCCTCCAAATTGTGCATTATTTATACAAGAGTGCCTGCAAATCCCCAAATTTTCTTTCAGGTCATTGTAAATGTGACTCAAAAGTGAAGAGAATTAAGTTGCAAATTATCAAAAGGGGGCTGGAAATGAAATCGGGGGTTTTGGAGGGCTACTTGGTCTAAAGAATCAGAGAGTGAAAGTTTGAGACTTTTCTTTACTTTGCCACAAATTATTGATTTAAAATATTTGAACACTGAATCAACATAGTTTTTAGCACTGCTGACTATTGAGCTCAACATTTTTACCCTATCTCTGGTATGATCCAGTCTGTCTGTTCTGTTCTGAGATAGTTTTATGAATACTGGTCATCTTTTGTACAACCTAGCAGACTTTGTGTAGGAAAAATAGCCGGAGCAACAAGGACACTGGCTCCGACATGACTCACCTTTATGAAGACGTGCTATAACGCAGCT